TTCAAGGAAAATCGTAACAATTGGTGTCAGAATTGGGATTGTTAAATAAATCCCGAAGGATAAACTTTTGAAAATGGCAAAAATTCAGGACTTAAAGATTGAGGAACTCAAACAGGAGTTGGAGAAGCGATATTTAGCAACCTCCGGAAGAAAAGTGGAGTTACTATCACGGCTGCGAGAGGCTATGGAAGCAGAAGGCATCGACGTGGACAAATACGACTTCCAGGGTAAACTTGACGATGCATCCGCAAAGGATGAACAGAAGGATGAGGCCGCTTGTTCGTCGAAGGATATGCAGCAGACATCCGGGAAGGTTGAAGAACAGCAAAAGTCTCCAAGTTCATCAACATCTATGGACATGAACACGTTATTGGCTGCCATGTCACAGATGACATCACAGCTGTCGTCACAGATGCAAGCACAGGATACACGCATGTCAAAGATGTCCTCACAGATTTCATCCCAGCTGCAAGTGCAGGAAACACGCATATCATCGCAGCTAGATGAAAAGATTACTCAGCTACAAGAGAATTTATTCAAAAATAACGCGGAGCTGAGAGAGACAGGATAAAATCGAGGAACGACAAGATAAAATTGAAGCGCTTATTAAGGAAAAACAGGAGAAAGTCGAAGCTAAGGTGGATGAGCTTGAAGATCGTCTCCGGGGTTTGCAGTTGAATCGTCCAGCTACTTCGACGAACGCTCCCAAGGTAAAAACCCCATCCTTTGACGGCGCGATTCCTTTCCAGGTCTTTAAGCTCCAGTTCGAAAAAACGGCTGCAGCAAATCACTGGAGCATGGAGGATAAATCCGCTGCACTGTTCGTTGCATTAAAAGGACCTGCAGCGGAAATCTTGCAGACTATTCCTGATGGTGAAAGGAACAGTTACGATGCGTTAATGGGTGCAGTGGAAAGACGTTATGGTAGCGAGCACAGGAGACAGATATACCAGATGGAGCTGGAGAATCGCTGCCAGAAATCCAACGAGACTTTACAGGAATTCGCCTCCGAGATTGAAAGGTTGGTTCATTTGGCAATTGGAGATGCATCTGGTGAGCACCTCGAAAGAGTAAAAATCCAGAGGTTCATCAACGGAATGCGGGACGTGTATACCAAGCGAGAGACGTACGCGAATCCCAAGCCAACATTTGCCGAAACTGTCTCGTATGCTCAGACGCGTGAAACGGCGGCGCTCCTAAGTAGACCAGCCTACAAAGCCCATCAAGTAGAAGTGGAAACACCTGACGTGATGAACGAGATCCTGAAAACACTCAAGTCGATGGCAGGGAAGAATACTCCTGGTGCAACCGAGAGGAAGGATGGTGCTAGAAAATGTTTTAGTTGCGGAAAACCAGGCCACTTCGCACGCGAATGTAAGACGGGTTCCAACAGGCCAAACAGTTCAGCAGTACGTAAACGCAGGACTGAGGATGACGAGCCCAACTCCGACCAGTCGTTAAACTAAAACGAGCCAGCAGCAAGGGGCGCACGCTGGCTCCCGCAATTGAATGCCCCATAATCTCCGTCTCACGAATTGGCAGAAAAGCGAGCAATGTTACTGTTGGTCGATATGTGGACGGACATGAGCGAGTACTAACTGTGGATACGGGCGCA